AGGGGTCTGGAATGTCCCTCCTGGAATGTCCCTGCCCCCGGAGGTCATGCTGGGCTCAGCCTTTGTCATCGCAGCAGGGGGATTTGCTGGGATCAGGAATCTCACAGCAAAGATCCAGCATTAACTCCGCCACCAGCAGCATTAAAAACATGGATTAAAGCACAGAGCTGGCCACTTTCCACTTCCAGGGACTCACCTGCTTCAGCGCTGTTCCAAAACCGAGGGAATTTTCAGGGAATGGAAGGAAAAACTCTATTTGGGAGGGACAAACCCCCTGGGCTGTGCCAGGGAATCCATGGATCCTGCTGGCATATGGGATTTCAAAGCCCCCAGCGAGGAAATCTGCCTCCCACGCACTGAAAAGCCAGCAGAGATCCCAAATCCATCCACTTCCACTCTGAATCCCTGTGGAAATGAGGTGGTTTTCCCCCCAAAAAATGAAGACAAGACAGAGCCAAGGAGACATTCCAAAGGGATATTTACTGCCCAACCTGAGGTTGTTCCCCTGCAGCCACAGCAGGGCCCCTGCCCCGTGCTCTGGGGGTTTTCTTCCAAGAGGAATTCCAGTGGGAATCACGGCCTGGGCTCCTCCTTGCCCGTGTGGTAGTCGGGGGGTGTGTACTTCCCTTGCTTGATCATCCTGTCCCGCTGCTCCAAGATGATCCGGAGCCGTTGAGCCTGGCAGGGTCACAGAGGGGTCTCAGGGATCCCTCGGGGGGTCCCCAAGGCAGGTCCTGGCAGCCCCACGGACGTGGAACCCACACTAACCCCGCCCTGGGGCTCCTCACTCAAGTTTGAGGCTCTTCTCAAAGACTTTGGGGCTCTCGAGATGTTGTGGACTGATATTTGGGTTTCCAGCCCAATTTTCTGACCAGGATTTTGTCCTGGATGTGGAAGCTGCTGGAGAAGCGCTGGGGACAGGAAGCAAAGTCTGCTCGGTGCTGCCCCAAAACACGGAATGGTTTGGCTGGAACTAAAATCCCACCCAGCCCCACCCCCATGGGCAGGAACACTTTCCACTAATCAGGTTTCTCCAGCCTAGCCTGGAACACCTCCAGGAATGGGACAGTCACCGCTCCTCGGGGTCCTGCAGCCACCGCAGCCCTCGGGGAAGGGGCTGCTGCAGGGCCAGACCCCCCCTCACCCTGGGAATGACCAGGGCGCGCTCCCA